GGGGGGGGGGGGGGGGGAGGGGATCGGGGACTAACTATCTGAGTTGAAATTCTAAATGCAGGAGCTCTACGGAAGCACGAAAGTCGCAAACCTCCCATGGAGCGTCGCAATTTCTGCGCCTTCCAACAATCTTAAAATTAACCCATCCTTTGCTATTATAGAAACACTGTTGTGTTTATGATTTGTTTATTTTATATCATATTCATATATCAAGACGTATAGTGTTAGCCCTAATAATTGTAAAACCCTCACCCCCTACTGCCCACTTCCCAACCTCCTCAAAATTAACCCATTCTTCAGGGCTGTCCCTAGCTTATATAGTAACACCGTTGTGTTTATGATTTGTTTATTCTATATCATATACTAATCAAGACGTATATTGTTAGCTCCATTGTTTACCGACCCTCTAATCCTAGAAATTGTTCAAATTAATTCATTGATTATTAATATTATAGTAGATACCTGACACCCTTTAATTTATACCCACAAACCGATCTTAGATTAAAAATATATAGTCACTAATAACTCATTCTGATTATATATAACATAGTCACAGTTATATTTATATTCCAGATAAGAGTAGGCGTGGTAAGGTTAATATACGACTTACCCCCACTGAGGTTTTTTTCAATCTGATTAAAATGCAAAACTGGATAGCTTTCTGTGGGTGATTCGACTTACCATCCATGATCTGACGAAATTTTTATACATCTTATGTTCTGTATCAAATTATTAGAGATGAATTTGTGATTAAGACACTAAAACGAATGTTAGAATTATTTACTATGAAATATTGTTACTGGTAATCCGAACCCGGGGTGTGGGAACCCACAATTCACCCCGATCTCATATTCTGTTTATACTTATACATGTACCAATATATCATAAATATTAATTAGTTCGATAAGCCAAGGTTCTCAGTTCTTAATGTTCAACAAAATCAACTTTAGTTTATTAAACTTCGTGTTTAAACAATATCTTCTACCCAATAAATAAAAATTAGTTTTGATACAAACTAGCCCCTTGAACAATAGAGGGTACTTATTTTTATTCGACATTGCTGGTGGTTTTAATTAATTTATGTTAATGAAGTTATGAATATTCATATATTAGCTGATGATATATTCAATACAAAGATTGTTTTCTTCGTCTTAGTTTAATATTTCTATGTCCAATGGTAGAACTATATCGTGATACGATTTACACTTATATTAGGGCTGATCTAAGATCCCAATTTAAGAAATTTTAATCAAATAACGTTTTATTATTGGTTTATTTAGTAGAGAATTCCATAATTTGAACATGTAAAAGTAAGAAACTGTTTGTGCAATCCAATAATCAATTACATGTATAGTCATCACCCAGCCTCAATAAATGTAGACTTTTACTCCAGATGGTAACATAAAGGAACTGCTAGTATCTTATTGGACAGCAATAGGTTTTAGACACATTCTTTGGCTATTTTCCTACTTACCTGTCATAAGTAAACAGCTACTTAGATCGACCAGACCCCGAAATGCTGCAATATACAGAGCCACGGTGCCACGTTCTTTAATGATGCTTTCCACTTGCTGTCTTTCTGATTTCTCGGTCGCCATGTTGTCGTCTGCTCGGATGGCGCCATTTTTAATCACCTCATCCACACGGTTGTTAATGGTCATCGTACAGTTCCACCCAGCTTTCAAACAGCTGCGTTCTAAGAATATATCCGTCCCAAACATTCTGATCTAGCAGAAGACAATGTTCCTCGTGCATGTATTGACCATCCGAGTTGTGCAGACGGTATATTTGCGCGGGAATTCCAGCCTCCAGTTCCAGACGACATCTGATTTCACGGATTGTGGTTCCATGCTGAACGTTTCGTAACGTGCAGACGTTATTGGTGGAAGGGAGGATGACGAACAGTGTAAACTGCATGCTAAAGATGAGTTACAGAGTGTGGTAAGAGAATGTCATATCACGATTAACATCAAGATGTAGGTTGCTTTTCCAACTGTTTCAGAAGACAGATCATCATTAAATTGACCTGAAAACCAAGATGTAAGCAATACTTTAGTTGCTGTCCCGAAAATACCTTGTGTTTGAGACTATACATGTATTTGGCACCCTGACGACTACTAACACATTATATCCCTTATCGCCCATTTCACAGTGCAGTCCTTCTTCAATAGTCTCCACAAGATGGTCTATGTGGTCATGCTGACCACAGAAAATTGTCATTGTACCAAATACGAACTGTTAGCTAGTTGGACACGAGAGTTTGGTATGTTCTAGTCCCATTCTGACCACAGAAAACTGTCATTGTATCAAGCAATTTTCTAGCTAGTTGGACATGATAGTTTGGTATTCTGACAACATTAAGGTTTATCTGAGTAAAAAGGTTACTAAGAATAGAAAGGTTACCCTCACCTGTTCCACTGCCAATATGTTAGATTGACAAAATCCATGATAATTCCCAGCTAATCCTTTGTACACGTGATCTAATCTCTTTATCCGAGTTATCAACAGATTGATTTACTGGTTTATTATCGTCGGCCCACTCGCTACCGTTCGATAAATACGTTTACTGTTCAATCATTCGAAAATTCGCCGACATTTCCATAGAAGTTTAAGTCGATTATATATCCGAAACTTGCGTCTGTTGTCCACAAGATAAACTTTTCGAAAGACAAATCAGGTCTTAAATGCCACTACTATCATAATTATCACTATTTCTATTTCACACAACGTTTCGACAAGAACACACTTGTTGTTATCAAAGTACAAAACACAACACTGTTATTTTTACAACGTTTCGACAAGATTACACTTGTTACCAAGTTGATAAAACAATCACACTTAATAGACTGCGACCTTTATATTCTGTTGTTACAACGTTTCGACAGAATTACACTTCAATCACAGTCTTCATTAGACATTTCTCAAAACATTTCCATAAAATGTCGGGTAAGAGATCTATTTTACTGCTTTCAGAATATTCACAAATTATGCAGTAAATCGTCCATTATGATATTAGCGAACAAATCACATGTATTGATCAAACTTCAATAAGAGTTATCGATTAATAACCAATCACACAAATCAATAGAAATCATAGACTTTATAACTTTCTTACTAAATAGAGTATATTATCATATTATATCCCTCACAATACCTCCACATACACCGGGCCGATAATACCCCGATATACAGACCCTAGTAACATGACCCATTATGTTATCATGGCGTCCTTAACAACCGTTAAAGATACACTGTGTCCCTTTTTGTTAAGATGAAATCAAATAGCACACACTTGACTTGACAAAACCATCGTAGTCAATCAGCTATGAGACAGCGTGCTTGGTACAATGACAGTTTTCTGTGGTCGTAGTCCACACCAAATTGTGTCCAACTGGTTAACGGATTGTGTGGTACAATGGCAGTATTCTTAGTTGAATATAACCCCGAGTACGGTAATGTGATGTCTGGTGTTTTTATACTAACAATAGTACATCAGTCAATACCTCGAATAAGGTGAGGTCTGGTGTTCTACTACTGATAATAAGGGGAGGAAAGCCTTACAACATTGACATTTTATTGGACTCAACTAAATATTATTCCCTTGTGTTCTGTAGTCTATATGTTGCCTAAATTACATTGTGATAGTCTCCCTTTAATCATCTTAATCGAGTGGTTATCATCACATCACAATATAACAAGTTTGGATGGTCATCACATCATCATGTGATGTGGTAATCCCTCGTGCGATATCACGTGTGATAATCTCACATATGATTTAATACCCTATCATGCCATGTGATTACCCGACTCCAAACATGATAATCCACCATTCAATGTAATAATCCATCATGTGATGTGGCAATCTATCATGTGATGTGGTAATCTATCATGCGATGTGATAATCCATCATTACAATACCACATAAAAGCTACTGTGAAATATCACATTAAAGCTGTCAAGTAATACCACATTAAAGCTATCATGTAAAAATCATATTAAAGCTATCATGAATTGCCACATTAAAGCTACGATAAAATATCACTTAAAAGCTACCATGAAACAACATATTAAAGCTATCATGAAATATCACATTAAAGTTATCGTGAAATATCACATGATATACCGTTGCATGGGCCATTTGATGGTAGCTTTAATGGACCATTACGCTACAGCTTTAATGGGCTATTACAAGATAGCTTTAATAGGCCATTACACGATAGCTTTAATGGGCCATTCATGGAAGCTTAAATGGACCATTTCATGTAAGCTTTAATAGGCCATTTCAAGGTAGATTTAATGTGACATTTCATGGTAGCGTTACTGGGCCACATCATGTGATATTTCATGATAACGTTTATGAGCCATTTCATTGTAGTTTAAATGGTCCTTGACATGGTAGCTTTTGAGCTATTCCATGTGATATTTCATGGTAGCTGTATTGGACCATTTCATGTGATATTTCATGATAGCTTTTAAAGGCCATTCCATAGTAGTTTTAAAGGGCATTTTCATGGTAGCTTTAATGAGCCATTTCATGTGATATTTCATGGTAGCTTTAATGGGCCATTTCATGTGATATTTCATGGTAGCTTTAATGGGCCATTTCATGTGATATTTCATGGTAACTTTAATGGGCCACTTCGTGGTATATTTAAAGGACCATTTCATGGTAGCTTTAATGGGCCACTCAATGATCACTTTAATGGGCCATTCAATGTGATATTTCATGGTAGCTTTAATGTGATATTTCATAGTAGCTTTAAAGTAATATATCATGTTAGCTTTAATGTAATATATCATGGGACATTTCATGGTAGCTTTAATGAGCCACTTCTTGTAGTTTATTAATGGGGCATTTCATGATCGCTTTAATGGGCAATTTCGTGTGATATTTCATTGTAGCTTTAATGTAATATATCATATGATATTTCATGTGATATTTAATGGTAGGTCTAAAGTTACATTGCATAGTAGCTTTACTGTGATATGTCATGGGATATTTCATGGTAGCTTTAATGTGATATATCATGTGATACTTCACGGTAGCTTTAATGTGATATTCCTAGCAGCTTTAATGTGATATATCATGTGGTATTTCATGGTAGCTTTAATGTGATATATCATGGTAGCTTTAATGTGATATATCATGTGATATTTCATGGTTGCTTTAATGTGATATTTCACGTGATATTTCATGGTAGCTTAAATATGATATTCCATGGTAGCTTTAATGTGATATTCCATGGTAGCTTAAATGTGATATTCCATGGTAGCTTTAATGTGATATTCCATGGTATATTTCATGGTAGCTTAAATGTGATATTCCACGGTAGCTTAAATGTCATATTCAGTGGTAGCTTTAATGTGATATTCCATGGTAGCTTTAATGTGATATATCATGTGATATTTCATGGTAGTTTTAATGTGATATTCCATGGTAGCTTTAATGTGATATATCATGTGATATCCATGGTAGCTTTACTGTGATATTTCATGGTAGCTTTTTGTGATATTTCATGGTAGCTTAAATGTCATATTCCATATGATATTTCATGGTAGCTTTAATGTGATATATCATGTGATACTTTATGGTAGCTTTAATGTGATATTCCTAGCTGCTTTAATGTGAAATATTATGTGGTATTTCATGGTAGCTTTAATGTGATATATCATGTGATATTTCATAGAAGCTAAAATGTGATATATCATGGTAGCTTTAATGTGATATTTCCTGGTAACTTTAATGTAATATTTCATGTGATATTTATGATAGCTTTAATGTGATATATCATGTAATATTTCATGATACCTTAATTTGATATTTCATGTGATATTTCATGGTAGCTTCAATGTGATATTTCACGCGATATTTCATGGTAGCTTTAATGTGATATATCATGTGATATTTCATGGTAGCTTTAATGTGATATTCCATGGTAGCTTTAATGTGATATATCATGGTAGCTTTAATGTGATATTTCCTGGTAACTTTAATGTAATATTTCATGTGATATTTATGATAGCTTTAATGTGATATATCATGTAATATTTCATGATACCTTAATTTGATATTTCATGTGATATTTCATGGTAGCTTCAATGTGATATTTCACGCGATATTTCATGGTAGCTTTAACGTGATATTCCTAGCAACTTTAATGTGATATATCATGGTAGCTTTAATGTGATATATCATGTGATATTCCATGGTAGCTTTAATGTGATATTCCATGTGATATTTCATGGTAGCTTAAATGTGATATATCATGTGATATTTCATGGTAGCTTTAATGTGATATTCCATGTGATATTTCATGGTAGCTTCAATTTGATATTTCACGCGATATTTCATGGTAGCTTTAATGTGATATTCCTAGCATCTTTAATGTGATATATCATGTGATATTTCATGGTAGCTTTAATGTGATATTCCTAGCAGCTTTAATGTGATATATCATGTGGTATTTCATGGTAGCTTTAATGTGATATATCATGTGATATTTCATGGTAGCTTTAATGTGACATTTCATGTGATATGTCATGGTAGCTTTAATGTTATATATCAGGTGGTATTTCATGGTAGCTCTAATGTGATATTCATGGTAGCTTAATTGTGATATTTCATGGCAGCTTTAATGTGATATTTCATGGTAACTTAAATGTGATATATAATGTGATATTTCATGGCCGCTTTAATGTGATATTTCATGGTAGCTTTAATGTGATATCTCATGATAGCTTAAATTTGATATTCCATGGTAGCTTCAATGTGACATTTCATAGTAGCTTTAATGTGATATTTCACGCGATATTTCATGGTAGCTTTAACGTGATATTCCTAGCAACTTTAATGTGATATATCATGGTAGCTTTAATGTGATATATCATGTGATATTTCATGGTAGCTTTAATGTGATATTCCATGTGATATTTCATGTTAGCTTCAATGTGATATTTCACGCGATATTTCATGGTAGCTTTAACGTGATATTCCTAGCAACTTTAATGTGATATATCATGGTAGCTTTAATGTGATATATCATGTGATATTCCATGGTAGCTTTAATGTGATATTCCATGTGATATTTCATGGTAGCTTCAATGTGATAATTCACGCGATATTTCATGGTAGCTTTAATGTGATATTCCTAGCATCTTTAATGTGATATATCATGTGATATTTCATGGTAGCTTTAATGTGATATTCCTAGCAGCTTTAATGTGATATATCATGTGGTATTTCATGGTAGCTTTAATGTTATATATCAGGTGGTATTTCATGGTAGCTTTAATGTGATATTTCATGGTAGCTTAATTGTGATATTTCATGGTAGCTTTAATGTGATATTTCATGGTAGCTTAAATGTGATATTTCATAGTAGCTTTAATATGATATATAATGTGATATTTCATGGTCGCTTTAATGTGATATATCATGTGATATTTCATGGCCTCTTTAATGTGATATTTCATAGTAGCTGTACTGTGATATGTCATGGGATATTTCATGGTAGCTTTACTGTGATATTTCACGTGATATATCAGGGTAGCTTTAATATGATAATTCACGTGATATTTCATGGTAGCTTTAATGTGATATTTCATGGTAGCTTTAATGTGATATTTCACGCGATATTTCAGGGTAGCTTTAATGTGATATTTCATGTGATATTTCATGGTAGCTTAAATGTGATGTTTCATGGTAGCTTTAATGTGATATTTCACGTGATATTTCATGATAGCTTTAATGTGATATTTCATGGTAGCTTTAATGTGATATTTCACGTGATATTTCATGGTAGCTTTAATGTGATATTTCACGTGATATTTCATGGTAGCTTCAAAGTGATATTTCACGTGATATTTCATGGTAGCTTTAATGTGATATTTCATGGTAGCGTTAATGTGATATTTCATGGTAGCTTTAATGTGATATTTCACGTGATATTACATGGTAGCTTTAACGTGATAATTCACTTGGTATTTCATGGTAGCTTTAATGTGATATTTCACGTGATATTTCATGGTAGCTTTAACGTGGAAATTCACTTGGTATTTCATGGTAGCTTTAACGTGATATTTCATGGTAGCTTTAACGTGACATTTCACGTGATATTTCATGGTAGCTTTAAAGTGATATTTCACGTGATATTTCATGGTAGCTTTAATGTGATATTTCATGGTAGCTTTAATGTGATATTTCATGGTAGCATTAATGTGATATTTGATGATAGCTTTAACGTGATATTTCATGGTAGCTTCAATGTGATATTTCATGGTAGCTTCAATGTGATATTTCATGGTAGCTTCAATGTAATATTTCATGGTAGCTTTAACATCTTAGTGGTGATTACATCGCACGATGACCCATCTTAGTGGTGATTACATCGCACGATGACCCATCTTAGTGGTGATTACATCGCACGATGACCCATCTTAGTGGTGATTACATCGCACGATGACCCATCTTAGTGGTGATTACATCGCACGATGACCCATCTTAGTGGTGATTACATCGCACGATGACCCATCTTAGTGGTGATTACATCGCACGATGACCCATCTTAGTGGTGATTACATCGCACGATGACCCATCTTAGTGGTGATTACATCGCACGATGACCCATCTTAGTGGTGATTACATCGCACGATGACCCATCTTAGTGGTGATTACATCGCACGATGACCCATCTTAGTGGTGATTACATCGCACGATGACCCATCTTAGTGGTGATTACATCGCACGATGACCCATCTTAGTGGTGATTACATCGCACGATGACCCATCTTAGTGGTGATTACATCGCACGATGACCCATCTTAGTGGTGATTACATCGCACGATGACCCATCTTAGTGGTGATTACATCGCACGATGACCCATCTTAGTGGTGATTACATCGCACGATGACCCATCTTAGTGGTGATTACATCGCACGATGACCCATCTTAGTGGTGATTACATCGCACGATGACCCATCTTAGTGGTGATTACATC